ATATATACTAATACATATTAATATATATTAATATATATCAATATATATTAATATGTATTAGTATATATTAATATATATTAATATATATTCATATATATTAATATATACTAATATATATATATATAAATACATATTCATATATACTAATATATATATATACTTATATATATATATATTAATATATATTAATATATAATAATATATACTAATATATATATATATATACTCACATACACATACATATTTACATGTGTGTGTGTATACCTACCTACCTAACCTACCTACCTACCTACCTACCTACCTACCTACCTACCTACCTACCTACCTACCTACCTACGTACCTACGTACCTACATACCTACCTACCTATGTACCTACGTACATACATACATACATACCCACGCACATATATATATATATAAAGTTGTGATTGTGTTGTATATAAATGTCTCTTTTTATAGTGTTTATAAGGAAACCCCTGGAATACTATTGGCAATCATTCAGTCTTCGACGTCCGAAGCCAGGGGTTACTTCTTGCGCAAAGGGTTGGGGAGGCCCTTTGCGTTTCAAGAACGCTTACAACTTCCAAGTAAGTTCCTTGACACCCACGATTTGTATTCTGTGTTTTTCGCGTGACGCTTGGATCTGTCGCTGCATGTATTTTAGGAACAAGACTGGAGCGCATCCCCCAGGAAGGAGTCGAGTTGTCGGCCAGAAGCTGCCAGTAGGCGCTCACTCCGTGAGTCATGAATTACCCCACGAATCCGATGTTTTGAAAGGAATTTCGACGAGCACGGCTTTTACTCTGCGGTCTACACTGGGGTTACCAACAACAGCGGAGGTGGCGCGCCATGCGGGAAAGTTGGGCCGTTTTGCTTTTTCTGCTCACCTTAGGGCGTTTTGGGGAAAGGGTCTCCAGTCTGAGGGTTTACGGAAAAGAGTTCAGGGTCTGCCTCTTTGTCCTGTGCGAAGCGGCAAAGCGTGAATACAAGTCTTTGCCGGCAGAGTCGCTGCCGACCGGAAAGGTTTAGGGTCTCGTTCCGGGGTCTCCAATCGAACTCACTCCAGAGCAATGCGTATAATCTGGGGAGAAGAGAAGGGTTTCAGGAGCTGAGGGTCAGTTTTTGGCTCATAGGATCGGGGCTACCAGCAGATTTGAGCTTCGCTTCGCTGCACTATGCTGTAGACCAAAGCCACGGAACGCGAATGCCTGCACACCAGGCACCGATATCGCACCGCTTCCGCCAGTGCCGACGAGCACGTGGACGTCCAATACCGTGCTTCATGAAGTGCCGAGCTTCCAGGGAAAGGACCCTGCTTTAGGAATGTCTGCTGCCTCCGGCCGATGATGACATAGAGTGGCCCCTAAACCCTAAACCCTAAATTCTTCTCTGCTCATTATTGTGAAGTGGCTTGCTCCTCTCGAAGGACATGGATGACAATGCAGCGCCATTGACCCTGCCATTTGTGACGTCCTTCTATGGTGAACTCGCGCAGGACAATGTGAGTGAAGCTCGTGGCACATGCATCCTGCAAGTTGGATGTCTGGCTTCCTCGAAATCGCAGAAAAAAAGTCCCGTTGCGCGTTCCCCACCAGTGCCTGCAGGACGTGCAGGTATCCTCCAACGGTTTGGTGGCAATCTCGGCCGACTCGAGCACTTTCGAGCCCGGTAGGGATTACTGGGGCTCTCTGGATAGTTTTAGAAAGCTGGAAGCTGTTTTTTTGGAGATAGCTTGTTTTCCCAATTGCAGTTACAGTGCGTCGCAGAGCCTTCATGAACCACCAAGGCTACCTACCCTCGGTCAGTAAGCCCAATGGGATCGTGGCAGCTTACTGGGACGACCTCTGGTGCCGTGCATCGCGTGGCTGCAGGCTCTTGACAGGCCAGCGTGTCGTGGCGTCACCTGTTGCGGATCGCTGTGGCACCGGCAACGCCTCCATAATACAGCTCCTGCGTTTCCGATTGAGAAGCCCTTTCATTGAGTCTCCGCCGGACGAGTAGTTTCTTGGCTCCTGAAGGATTCTGCAGTGATCCGAGGTTCTCGCATTTCGAGCACCGCTACGATGCCAGCATTGTGGCTTCTGTGGAGGTGCGACTCTATGCTGATGGCTGCATAGAGTTGCAATTCCAGCACTGGCCATCGTGCTTTCGTCTGTTGTTGGAAGGTACATTTTCTCGTTCCTTGCGGGACCAAGAAACTACTATTTTAACCTGCATTGTCGTGATAACCTTCCTCGAAGCTCAGGCGTGGCAAGCGGTTGAATGCAAAGATTGGGGTCGAGTCCAGAAGTGGAGCCAGCGGGGTAAACCACGCATCAGCGTTTCTTGTCAGCTTGCTCGCATCACTTTCAACTGTGGTGGTTACGTGACAGTTCAGTGGAAGCAATGGAAGTCTTCCGACATGGGGCTTCAGCTTAAAGCCACTCATGAACTTAGGCTACCGTTCGACTTGGGGCATCCGTTTGGAGTCATGCTCGTTCCCTTCTTTGCGTCGGACTCCACGTCGCAGCCCGGACAGAAATTTTGACAGTTGCAGCCACAGGTGGACATCAGGCATACCGCGTGACCGCTTCCTTCATGGGCCATGATATGAGAATCCGGCACTTCCGAGGGGCGGTGAAGTGCTCAGCGGAAGTACGTCCAGGCGGGAAGTCTCTGGAGATCACGCGAAGCAGCGCGGATGGGTGGGTTCATGTAGACTCGTGCATCTCCATTGAAGTGGGAGCGACTCACTGAAGGCTTGGCTCAAGGCACAAGCTTGCTTCGTCCCCAGTCGGCAGGGGGCTTCTTATTAGGGGTCCGAAACCACATGGCAGAGGCGGCATCCGACGCGGCCGTGAACAGCGACGTGAAGGTGAAGAAGTCAGCTTTGGAGAAGGCGATCCGAGCTATCCTCCAGGTCGTCGCAAAGAAGAGCTCCAATGCGAACCCGCTCTTCGCAGAGGCTGCAGAGACGATCTACATACAGCTGGCCCTCGCCAAGATACCAGAGAAGCCCGGAAAGACGACGATGATCCCGCTGCCACATCCTTTGTACGGTGAGAAGGCGGAGGCATGCTTCATTTCCAAGACACCGCAGAAGAAGTACAAGGAGCTCTTGCTGCAGAAGCACCCAGTGCCGGGATTGACAAAGGTCATTGGCGTGGAGAAGCTTCGAAAGAAGTACAAAGACTTAGCCCAGAAGCGGACCTTGGCCGATGCGTTCGACCTCTTCCTCTGCGACAAGCGGGTCATTGAGATGATGCCCCAGATCTTGGGGAACGTCTTCTACAAGCACAAGCTGAAGGCGCCAGTGCCCGTCCCTTTGAGGGAGAACGGCGAAGATCCCTCGAAGGAGATTCGGAAGGCGATCGGCGGCACGAAGTTTCGAGTCGTCCAGGGCCGCAGCGTCGGCGTCCGGTTCGGCCGCTGCTCGATGGCCGAGGAGGAGCTCTTTGCGAATGCCAAGGCGGTGATTTCGGCGTCAATCAAGCTCCTTGGTAGCCGAGGGCTGCTCCTTCAAGCGATTACGATCCAGGCCACAAATACCATCGCCCTTCCCATTTGGAGAAGGACGGCTCCTGGAGAGGGAGCACCGGTGAACCTGAAGAAGTGGCGGGAGCAGAATGCCAGCTCTGCTGCGTCGGACACCGGGGCCAGTGGTATCAGCGACTCTGAAATCACCGGGAGCGAGATTATCTCCGACGCCGGAGAGACCCTGAGCACCCGGGATTCCATGAGCGAGGTCGAGACTGCAGGGGACACGATGAGCGAGGTGGACCCTTCCGGGGAGTCCCTGAGCGAGATGGGATCGGAAGCGGAGGTGGTCACTAAAGAGGACCTTCCCCTTGTGCAGGGCTTGAAGAAGAAGAAGAGGAAGCGCATGGCGACTGCATGAGCAGGAGACAAATTCGAGAATCCTCAGAGGTAAGTAAGACCTTGCCCGCTTCAGAGCGGTCCTGGTCTGAGTCGCTGCCCGCCTCGGTTTCACTCCAAGCTACAGCCTCGTAAACCGCAGAGCCCTGGTGCTTTTATTGCGAGAGGCCCGAGAGAAAAGACCTGCACAGACTCGGACATCTCCTTGAGAACGGGGGGAAAGCCGAGGCATTTTTTGCAGATGACACTAAACCCCTAAACCCTGAACCCTAAACCCCTAAACCCTAAACCTTCATCAGCCATGCCAGCCTTGTGCGAGTGTGTGAGTCGAAACCCTAAACCCCTAAACCCTAAATGTTCGCAGGTACGATTTCCACATGGAAGGCCATCGCTCGCAGCAAGGCGGGGGAGAGCCTTTGGGCCTTCGCTGGATTGCTACGCCCTGAAAAAGGAGAGACCCTTATTATTATTACTATTATTATTATTATTCTTATTACTATTATTATTATTACTATTATTATTATTATGAAGTTTAGGGTTTAGGGTTTAGTGACTATCTGCTTGCCGGGGATTCCCATTTGTTCTTGTGATCTCCGAGCTCAGAGTTGAGATGTAAGCAAGCTAGTGCCTAGTGAAAGGTTCGCCAATGCAGGAATGTAGCCCCCAAATCACCAAAAGTGCTGTTGTTATGTTGGTTTCCGAATTCACTAGCCCGAGCCCGAAGCAAGTTGACGAGGTTGGCTTACTGTTCGCGCCTGGGATGGAACGCAGCATTGGCAATCTGATCGCACCGCGGCGCCTAAATATCAGCTTGAAGCTGGCCAAACAGTAGGCTAAGGTTAACGGATACATTGCTGCATGGGCTATTGTAGCTCGGGGTTGAACGCCGTTCTGCTTTTGCGGCGGGTTTTCGGTTTGGTGGGTGCCCGCGCCAGCGCCTGTCTGTGTCCCGGTGCTTCTGAGAGCAGGCTTTTTTTGTGTGCAGGCTTAGCATGGTTGCCCCGAGGCGAACCATGCTAGAAGTAGGAAAGCAAAGGACGCTGAAGTTGTTTATCGTCGACCTGGGGGTCTGGAGGAGTGCGCCGAAGGAGTTCGGGGGATTTTTTTGGGTGCCATGCCTGCAGCGGCCATCTGCGTTGCCCGACGCACATGCTTGCAGCAGGTGCGAGATCTAAGGCGCGGACACATTACAGCTTTCTTGTTCGACATCTGTTGCAATATTTTGCAATCGTTTGCCGCTTGCAACTTCGTCTGCCATTGTTCGGGTTATTGAGTTCTAATCAAAATATAATAATGATAAAAAATATGATAATGATTATTAAAAATAGTAATGATAATAATAATAATAATAAGACCCCTCTCTGACCGTCCGACGCAAGTTCGAAATCTCTTAGTGGGGTCCACCTTCATCTGCGTCTGTGCGTGTCCTTCCGTGCGCGGTTTAGGGTTTAGGGTTTAGGGTTTGCGCAAGGTCTGTCAAGACAAAGGGAAGGTGAAGGCTCAGAGCAAGGAATGTTCCAACGGCGAGTCTGTTAATTCAGGCATGTTGCATGTATCGCATGGAAGTGGTTCTGAGATTGTAAGCTGCAGACTGACGGCAGTGATCCACTTGAAGAAGTCCTTTCCGATGCCCGAGTTTCCCGTTACAGTCAGAGTCGCGCATCAGTTGCGGATGCGCTAGTGCGCTAAATCTTAAACAAATATAGAAACATCAAAGAAAACATACATATTAAGAGCATTATTATCGATATCCCCAATATATCTTTTGTGATGGAAACAAGCGGATGCTGTTTCACATAGTGCTACATGTTACAATATCGCATCGCGGCCTTCATATTCTTCTGAGCATGCATGTGTCAGTCAGTCTGTGTGTCTGCTGCCGGTCAGTCAGTCAGTCAGTCAGTCAGTCATTGCTATCCTGACACACCTGGCAAGCGCATTTTTTTGGGATAGCCGGCCATGTGCAACTCTGTGGCAGCTGGTTATCCTACAAGTTTCTGCTTTCAGGTGATCTTTTTGATCTTCATGAATCTGAGATATATGATTCTAGTCGTCATGCATATCGAGATCGAATAAAGGTCGTGTCTTTTCATTTCCAGTAGCCCCAGACCGGTGGTTCCGACACGCTTTGCGTGCTCAGCCATAAGCGCTGGCGTCTGGAGCTTGGCTGAAGGGATTCACGGCTTCGTGCATTGCAGTCCCTGCTCAAAACAAGATTGCCCATATAAGTTAGTGATGACCATTTCTATTTTCTAACCAT